TTATTAAAATTGAAAGTGCATATATATATATATATATATACATATATATATATATATATACATATACATATACATATAACCTGTCAGTCAGGCAATCCCATTTTGGGGATTCTATTCCATATAAATAAAAGCACTGTTGAAAAGAATATATGTTATAAGGATATCTGTTGCAGTATTTTTGTAGTGGCCAAAAAAACCTAAAAAACAACCAGCCCTATAAAACAAATGGCTACATTATAAGGATAAATGACTGGATGCATTGTTATATGTATCCACCATGGAATATTATGCAGCCTCTAAAACTCATAAGTTTGAGTTATGCCAGATGACTTGGAGGGATCTCATAAGGTTCTGTTGAATGAGAGAGAGGCTCAGTGGTGGGCATCATATGATCCTAGGAGCCTGTTCATTAGAAACAATGATCCAACCCCTCCAAAACCTGTGCATAAACAGGAATTTATACATAAGGATATATATGTGTACATATCTATATACACACAAGAAATATCTGATTTTAGTAGCGTAGAGAAAAAACATGGAAAAACATATGCAAGGTTGTTTTATGTACTATGTTTATGGGCTTGCTGATGTGAGGGAGGGAGGGAGCCAAGCAAAGAAGGAAAAAAGACATCTGAAAAAGGTACATCTATATGATTGTAGTTATATATTTCTGCAATGTAATATGTGGAGATAGATAATAACTACATAATAATCTTTAAAAGATTGGAAAGCAGCATATGGCTAAAATGATCATATCTGAAACCATAGGCTTAGCCTGGGTTTAAAATCTCCCCACCTTCTTCCTGTGGTCTGCATTTGCCTGTGTCCATGCTTAGCTTGCAAAATGGTGTCAGATAGAGCAGTCTTTGTACCTTCCTCCATTTCCATACCTAATGTAAACAAAAGACCCCAGAGCTCTAAACAGCTGAACCTTTCTGGGTGGTTCACAGAATCAATGGGTGAGGGTGCGGATGACATAGCACAGTCCATCTCCATGTAGGTGATAACTCAAGACAAAACCACTGGGTTATCCTTATTAGAAGAGACAGCAGACCAGAGGTGGCCAGTCTGTGGTCACTTCAGTTTTTATGAATCACATCAAAACGGAGCTGCCTACATCTTCTTCCAACACATGTATTATTTTTTATAGACTCAGAGAGAGAAGCAAGTCGGAAAGCAAATATTCCTTTTGCTGAGTACAGTAACACCATAACACATGGCTTGTGTATGCATAGTTTTTTAATATGGGGATCCCCAGAAACACTCAGACTGCTTCTATGTAGTTGAACATGCGGGACAGACAGTTTAGCTTAGGGTGGGGATGAACTAATCCACTCTCACAGTTAAGGCCAAACTAAAGAGTAAAAGAGATGACTTTCAGTTAATAGGACAGTGACATTTCCTAATCCAAACCACATTTGGCATTATGTGTAAGCGATCACTGCTGTGTCATCAGAAGGTGGTTTGTCTCTGTGGATTCATGGTAGGTGGAGACTCCAGGAAGGGGTTGAGTTCTTACTCTGGATCTCCCGATGCTTTCCTGTCCCAGGCTTACCCAACAGGCCTCAGAACAGATAAAGATGCTTATGTTATCCATTGCTGAATAGTGATTTTTAAAAAGCACATCAGTAGTCCACTATTGGAATAAGACTTGTGCTCTCACTCAGCCTTTCCTAGACTTCGGTCCTGGTTGACTTGAATACATTGATTCGTAGTTGTTGGCTGAAGAATAGTGTCAAAACACTGAATTCTGTTGCCCCTGAGGGTAATATTAGTTGAGTTTTAGATGTTTTTGTAGAGGGCATAGATTAGTTAAAGGAGAAAGTCAACTATTTAATTCTTTAGGTGGGACCATGTGAAATGATACTAACCCTTGACAGTATTACTTGAAGGTATCTAGCAGAGTTTTTCATTAGCCCTCTTGTAAATAATACGGTACCTTTTGAATGAGCTGGCAAGGTTCTGATTGTTATGATGCATTTTATTAGATATAGATTTCTTTGTATATTTTCAGTAAAAGTCAACAGTCTTTATTTTAATGTAACTCTTCTCCTATCTTATACATTTTATTTCTAGGCACAGAGTTTATTAGGACTGGCTTTTTAAAAATTAATAGCTGTGTTGAGGTATAATTTGCCACACAATTCACCTATTCAAAGTATACAATTGATTGGTTTTTAGTGTATTCACAGAGTTGTGCAACCATCAGCCATCACCACAACCAATTTTAGAGCATTTTCATCACTTCCAAAAAGAAAAGAAAAAAAAGAAAGAGATTAGCAGCCACTTAGCTTAATGTTCTCAAGGTTCATCCATGTTGTAGCATGTACAAGGGTACTTCAAAAAGTTCATGGAAAGATTTGTATTAGCTTTCAATTCTATTTTTCTACAAACTTTTTGAAGTATCCTCATATTAGTACTTCCTTTTTATTGCCAACTATTTCACTGTTTATAGCAACCACATTAGGTTTATCTACTCATCAGTTGATGGATATTTGGCTTGTCTCCACTTTTTGGCCTTCATGAATAATGCTGCTATAAACATTTGTGCACAATTTTTTTGTGTGAGGGTCTGGCTTTGTAGTGACTGAGCTGCCCTTTTAAATTCCAGTGATATTATAGCTAAATGGGACTTTCCCAGATGTCCTCTTGCTCAGCACCTTCTGTTTAGGCACGTGAAGGATCCAGATTGTAGATGAGGCAACTGAGGCCCAGGTAAGGAAAGTGACTTCCCTGGGCACAGAGAGCTGGTGAGTGGAGTGGTCTCTTGCTCCCAGGTTTAGTGCTTTGCCGATTACTGTGGAAACGTGGAGGCTGAAGAAGACCTAAAGCCTGCAGTGCACGGATTTATAAAAGCCTTACAAGCTTTTTCTGTTTTCTGTTTCTTCTGTTTTGTCACTTACAACAGTGCCTCTGGTCTGAAAGTGAAAGAACAACATAAGAGTTAGAAGGTTCCTTAGAAATTTTCTAGACTTATATCCCTGCTATATAGGCGAGGAAACCGAGGCACAGAGAACTGATGTGACTTCTCTCCCAAGATCACACTGTTAGTGGCAGAGCAAAGACTGGAACCCTGGTCTCTCTGCTCTTCGTCCTAGGTCCTCATCTGCCCCCTTGGACGAGCAGTTGGCCAGGAGCTGTCTGAAGGGTGGTGTTGAGCCATTTTGTGTCTCTTCTCTAACAGGATCCTGTCACAGGGCTGCTGTCAGCCAGTCATGAGCAGAAGGACGCCTGGGTGCGGGACAACATCTACAGCATCCTGGCCGTGTGGGGCCTGGGCATGGCCTACCGCAAGAATGCTGACCGCGACGAGGACAAGGCCAAGGCCTACGAGTTAGAACAGGTAATGGTGACGGATGGCTGCATCTTGGCTGCTCAGCACCTTGTCCTTGAACTGAAAAACTGATGAGAAAGTAGCTATGTATGCAGAACAATTTGCTTTCAGGCCTCTCTTCCATTTTTGCTGTAGAATATTTGTGGGGGGGACACTTAGATAGTCTCAACCTCACATTTGTCTGTTTGAAATATTTTCCTCCATGAAATGATAACACCCAAAATCACACCAAATAAGAAATGAATGTCTCCAAATTTCTAACCCCAAAGTGTCGATTTTCCTGACTAGCTACATTTCTCTTACACATGCTCTATCAATTTTATACATATTTACATACAAGGCATCATTATAAACCAATATGATCATTTTTAAAAAGTCAGCAGATCAGAGCTACACATTCCTAAGTGTGTACTCTTCAGAGTAGCCACATTGAAAGAATATTTATACCAAACACTATTGCTGCTGCTTAAAATATTTTTGAAACTTCCTTTATAAATACCTTTCTAGTTTGAGCCATTCCAGGAAAACAGTCTTATTAATTTATGGTCACCCTTTAATTTTGAACCACACTGGTGTCATCCAGTTTTTGTGCCGATGTTACTCACCACACAGCACAATGATGTCCTTTTAATTGTTTTCCAAAATTAGAAACCAAGATACCCACCAAAGATAAGATTTGCCATCAATGAGTTTGTAACAAAAGAATCTGCCCCTGAGCACAGGAGGTATTTTCCTAGTGTTTTGAGTGATAGCATTAAAGTAGGAAGCACTGGGATATAAAAGTATAATTGTCTTGGGGTGAGAGCCTTTGGGAGTTATCTTTCACTGATATTCTCCTCAATGGCCCTCACAGCCAGCAGCCCATGAGGTCCAGGAAGAATTCTTACAGCCCAGTCAGTGTTTGTTGATAGCAACCAACATGGGCCCAAGCAAGGGGAGCTTGACAGCCATAGGGGGGCTTAGAAAAGAAGCTGGTCTCAGGGAGCAGGGTTTGAATTTGCCAAAACACATGGAGTGTGAAGTAAGGAAATCACCCAGTCCCAGAGCTAAGGAAGTATAGATAGTTTTTGAAATTGCATACAGCAAACATGAAATGCTCCTCCAAGAAGTTGGATGACTTTTATATAAGTGAATCATTCATTTAATAGTATAATGATTTGTAAAGCAGTGCTTATCTACACACATGCAAGCATGCACGCACACACGTACGTCCCTACTTGGCCTAGGTTAAGGTTGACTAGATTTGTTGCTCCTCGACTAACAACAGTGAGACATGAACAGGCCACATTGTATCCTAATGCCTTTTACTATTTGATGCACGTGGATAATAACTAAAGGAGACATCTTCCTTGATTATGGAAAATAACATGGGGATCTTCCAGTGATCCTCAACAAGGGCACTATTGCATTTTGGGCTAGAGTCCTTCATTGTGCAAAGCTGTCCCATGCATTGCAGGACATTTAGGATCCTTCGACCCCACTCACTAAATGCCAGCAGCCCCCACCTCCATCATTATGACAATAAAAATGCCTCCACCCCCACATTTCCATATGCTCCCCCACCCCTGGGGGATAGTAAAATCACCCCCAATTTGGAACCACTGGACTTTGTCTTAATGGAAAATAACTTCTTTATTTTAGGGGAAGTCAATTGACAAATGTTTATGCCATAAATCATAGGAAATGTTAATTATAACAGTGTTAATTTTACCTTAACGATATGAGGTAACATTTTTGGCCCCAACAGAGTTTATGACATAAAGTGAGATTATATGCTAGAACCCTAGGATTTTAGAAGTGGAAGGATCTGAAGGACAGTCCATTCCAGACTTTTCGCTGGCAGTGAACTTTCAGGGTCCTTCACTCTGTCCTGCCTTGCAAACCTGTACATTCTGGGAGAGAGGAGACGCTTGTGCCCCTAGGTGGGGGCTTCCTTCAGCCGGGCTGCTTTGACCTACCACTTGTGAAGTATTTGTATAGTGTTTTTAGTAGGACATGTTAAGACCAGTCTTTAGATGGGCCGGAATTGTGGAGGAAATGGGAGGCCACAAAATGCACTTGATTGAGCGCCACAAGCTCTGGCGTCTACTGCCCGGGCACGGTCCTTGGCCCACCCTTGCAGCTGCAGCTCGGAGGCATTAGCCATGTTACCTCACCTCTCTCAGCCTCAGCTTCCTCGTCTGTAACGCAGGTAGTGCTGCCACCCACCTCAGAAGCTGGGGCGAGAATGAGAGACGATGCAGCCAGCACGTTCTGTACGATGCCTAGACCTAGTGTCTAATGGATTACCACGGCATCATTGCTGTTACTTAGAGTGATGATAACATTAATAGTAATCGGTTACAGTAAACCATATTATTAAGAAACCTTGACTGCCACTTGCATTTTGTAAGAACCTTACTCAGTAGTGCAGTAATGGTGTCACAAATGGCTATTCTGGCAAAAAAAACATCATTACTTTTGGGCAGGCATGAAAGACTTAATTCATCCTTAGTATGACAAAAATAAATTACTAAGAAATGTGACATAAAGCTCCAGAGTACTAGGCTTATAAGAATTGCGTTGCTAAAATGTCAGTGAGGAGTCAGAATTTCAGAGCCGGAAGATACCATCTGATCCAACCCCTTTATTTGAGTTAAGTCACTTTGTCACGATTTTCCTTTCTTTGTGATGGAGTGGAGGAGTGGAGATAAGATGAACCACCAGACCACTCGTGTGTGCTCAGGACCCACCCTTCCCGGGGAGTTGCCAGGCAGCGCTGGCTTCCGTGTGTGTGGTGGCGAGGAGGTGGTTTCCCTGGAGCCAGGAACCCAGGCCCTGTCACTGACTGCGCTTTATTTCCACAGAACGTGGTGAAGCTGATGCGAGGTCTCCTGCAGTGCATGATGAGACAGGTAGGCGGAACACGACAAATGTGTCAACGTGTGTCCACAGAGCATCAGAGCAGGCATCTCAGGCCATTTTCCTCATGACACTGAACATGCTTAAAGCGTTTTGAACTTTTTTTCTCAACAGAAAGAGAAATTGGAAATATTTTGCCTACTTTCTCTTTTTTTAAATAATTTTGTTTTACTATAGAATCACAGTCTCAAAGAATACTGTTTCTGAGAATCTCTTTTGAAGAGTTACATGTGTAAAAGGAGAACATGCCTTTTTTTTTAATGGGGAAGAAAACTTTTTTTTAAAAGACACTCCGGAAAGCCATGTTTATTCTGTCAAGTTTATAAAAGGGTATACTTTCATTTGAGATTAAATGCTTGAGTTTTTAAAACTTGATTACTGTTTATTGGTGTTTTCATTGAGGGGTAAATTAAACAATTTATTGAGCACATGCTATATACAGAACATTATACTAGGATCAGCACAAATTCAAAGATGAATATCGTACGGTCCCCACCCTCAGTAAGCACATTCAAAGACGTTTGCTCTTTTCCTTTCAACATTAGGAAACAAGAAGTTGGCATCTAAACAAGTCCTCTTCCTTCTTTTCCTCTCTCCCTCCTTCCCTCCCTCTCTCATTGTACCTACCCTGTGTTCCCAGCTGGGGATATGCAGACAAGGACACCCTTTGGAGTGACCCCTCACCCCTGCAGAGCTTGTTAAAATCCCACTGGGCTGGGGCATTTCCGGTAAATGTCTGAGAAGGATCCCCAGCACAGCCCCTCTGTGTGGTGCTCACTAGCAGCTGCCTTCTGTCCCTCTGGCTCCCAGAAGTAGCAGATCAGAGATCTAGATCCAGGTGATGGGTCCTGGGTGTGGCCTCTACCAGCCTTGAACCCCTGTAGCTATGAGGAGCCTGCCTTCTGCCTTCTCCCTCAGGTGGACAAAGTGGAGAAGTTCAAGCACACTCAGAGTACCAAGGACAGCCTGCATGCCAAGTACAACACTGCCACCTGCAGCACTGTGGTGGGGGACGACCAGTGGGGCCACCTCCAGGTGGATGCCACCTCCCTCTTCCTCCTGTTCCTGGCCCAGATGACTGCCTCAGGTGAGCCAGGGCTGTTTGAGCCCATGGGAGTGACAATTCAGAAAGGGTATGGGGAGGGGGCAGGTCCGTGACCAGTGTCTTAGTCCACTTTGTGCTGCTCTAACAAAATACCTGAGGCTGGGCAAATTATAAAAAACAGAAAGTTATTCCCTCACAGTTCTGGAGGCCAGGATGTCCAAGATCAAGGCGAAGACAGGCTCAGTTATCTGATGAGGGCTGCATCTTCCAGAAGGGAGGAAGGCTATGTCCTCACATGTGTCCTGATGTGATGGAAGGCAGAAGGGCAAGAGAGCCAAAGGCTGCGTGAAGCTGCTTTTCTAAGGGCCTTAATCCCATTCACGAGGGAGGAGCCCTCATGGCCTAATCACCTATTAAAGGCTCCAGGTCTTAATACCATCACGTTGGCAGCACCTGAAATTTGGAGGGGACACATTCAAACTATAGAAGCAGTTTATGCAAAGGAAAAGCATGCTTCTCTGTGATATTAGGTGCATTTGCTTCTGTGATAGGTCAGGGAATGCAGGGACCCCGTCCGTGACCTGCCGACTGGACAGTCAGCCTCCACCTGGGCTCTTGCGGGATGAGGGCTGTTGAGCCGGCCCCATTAGCTTCTTTCTGTCAAGCCCACAGCTTCCTTACTGTCACCCTCACCTCGTTCCTGGAACAACCTAGGTCAGGCCCAACTTTGACAGTTCAAGGGGCTGCAGACAGTCTCACGCCTGCCCTTAAGACTTTCTCCTCCAGGATTAGCAGCCTTGTCCCTTCACCTCTCCCTCTGACTATCCTAGTCACCCTCCTTTTTTTTTATGTGACCGGTAAGGGGATTGCAACCCTTGGCTTGGTGTCACCCACACCGCGCTCAGCCAGTGAGCGCACCAGCCATCCCTATATATGATCCGAACCCGCGGCAGGAGCGCCACTGTGCTCCCAGTGCCGCACTCTCCTGGGGCCACGGGGCCGGCCCCTGGTCACCCTCTTCTAAACACACCCTTGTTTATCCAAATGATATTTGAGCAGCGTAACTTCCACTGCTCTGCAGCATGCCCAGTGCGGGCTGAACAGCCAGTGGCTCCTGTGCTGAGAGCAGACCACAGCTGCAGGACAGAGTGCCTTGTCCCTGCGGGAGTGCCTTCTGTGGCAGCCTGGTTGCCAGGACTTTGCACACCAAATGGTCTCTCTCTCCATCTGCTACGGGGGCTCCCCTGGCTTATGGCACTTAGTGGCTGTATCTCAGCATTCTCATCATCAGTCCAGTAAAATGATGTGCCTGAGTCTTCCCATTTATTTCAGACTGCAGGTGTGGAACTAAAAAATCCCGTAAGTCAGTAAGTAATGTCGTGGCTTTGTGAATAAACCATGCATTTATTAAAAAATACTTTTTGGTTGTGAAGTTAATATGAGCTCACTGAAGATATTTTGGAAAATATAACAAAATACAAAGAGAAAATTCTACTGCCAGTTTTCATTCAGATGTGTCTCCTCCAAGTCTTTTTTTCTATGCACTTTTTAACATATTTGAGGTCATATTGTATATATACACGTAGTCTTTTTCTTACATAAGCATTATAGCTAAGCATTTCCTCCATGATTTTACAAGCTCATCATAAACATTATTTTAGTGATTTTTATCAAGGGATATACCATAATTAAATTATTTCTTTATTATTTTTTGTTGTTGTTGCTATTATAACTAATGTCACAGTACCAACTTTGACCCCATCTCCATTTACTTCCTTCTGATAGTTAGATGCCATTCAAAGAGTACTCACATATATTGCCAAATTGTTTTCAGTTACTAGTTAAACTTAGTTCTAGTTAAACTTCTAATCTAGCTTATAATTTAAACTTCCTTCATACATATAAGAGCGCATATCTTATATCCATGCCAGCTTCAAGAATTTGTGCTTTAAATGCATGTATTTGCTATAACCAACTATATTTTCAAGGGCCTGATTAACGAATCAGCGTTCTTGGTCACTGCCTGCCTCAGTGACTTGGTGCAGCCCCCCGGCAGGTCCTGGGAGCTGGGCTTTCCATGGGGTGAAGAGCCGGCTCCTGAAGCTGGGAGCTCTACTTTCCCTATCTGCTGCAGTGGAAAAGGACCTACCCTTTTGTGTTTGGCTCACTCAAGAATAAGGACAGTGTCTCTGGTTCTTCTGGGCTGAAGTCCTTGCTTTGTTGGAACCTTCTCTGCACAAATACAACATGTACCAGAGGCCCCGTGCCTTATCTTTCAACCCCTTCTACTTGTAGGCACACATAGGAAAGGAGCCACTCTTTCTTTCCCCCTCCCTCCTTCCTTCCCTCCCTCTGTCTTTCCCTCTCTCCCTCCCTCTCTCTCTCCCTCCCTTTCCTCTTTCCTTCCCTCACTCCCTCACTCCCTTCCTTCCTTCCTTCCATCCCTCCTCTCCCTCCCTTCCTCTTTATGAAATTAGACATTATTATGCTTACTTCAGACTTAATTTTTGATGCCCTAGTAAGAAAAATAAAAATGAGAGTAAAAGGATTTATTTCCTAGTGTGATATTTATGATTTGTAATTGGCAGCTTTCTTTTCACAACATAACCTCATAACCTTAATGTTTTTCTTTACTAGGCTTACGTATTATTTTCACCCTCGATGAGGTGGCTTTCATACAGAATCTTGTTTTTTACATAGAAGCTGCATATAAAGTCGCTGTAAGTATCAACCCTGGTAGTCTTCAGGTGTGTCAGTCATCAAAAAGAATAAAAATCATATAGTTCTTTAAGGGCCAGGTTGTTTGGGGCTGACCAGAAGGTTAGCAAGTCTAGAGCTGTAACGTTGTATCACCTCCGCAAAGTGCACATTTTTGTCCTGGGATACAGTTGGGGGTTTTGTTTTTGGAGTGCACCACATTCTCTGTCTGAATCCATTTTTCTTTTTTTAAATCCCACTCTAAAATGTCCCCTAGGATGCATATGGCCTGCCCGAGTTGGGATGTAGAGGTAACAGTATTAGCATCTTGGGAGGAGCTAGAGTGTTGTGGGGATGATCTTAGCAGGCCCATGCATAGAGGGGCCCGAGCCAGGCAGAATCCCTGCTTGGGGATAAGGATGCAGAGTAAGGGAATAGACTTAGGGTGGAAGTCGATATTGTAAAATAACAGAGAATAAAGGCAGCTTGCAGGAATGCAGGAGGTAGAGGCCAGATCTCAGAAGGTATGGCCATCTGGAGAGAGATGTGAATGTGATGCCCTAGGGAAGAAACCATTTGTCATCTTGAACTCTGAGGCTGAAGAGTGGCCTGATCAAAGCAGTTTTTGAGGATGAGTCATTTGACTCCTGGGTTGCAGTAAAAATGGGTGGGAGTGGAGGAGGGCCCAAGGAAATAATCCTGGGCTCAGCTGCAAGGAGGAGGCTACAGTTGCTCTCCTATGTCTATGTCTCAAGTTCCACGTGTTGAAAATGTTCGTCTTTGGAGATTAAAAAAAAGACTGAAAGTTTGGCATTAGTCCTGTTCTTGTTGGGTTGTAGTCTTTCAATAGTGCACGTAGCATTATTTCAAAACAGCATCCAATATTTGGGTTTTTAAATGAAAATATGAATTGTGAAAGTTAGGTACACATGCATCAAGTCCTCTGTGTGAGTGTCTGAGCCAATTCATATTAACCAGTTTTTAAATGCCATGTAAGTTCAGTGTTCTGTGCCTCAGTTTTGACTTTGGTTCTGGTTGCTTGCTGAGCATTTTTTTCCCCAAGACATAAAATATGTTAAATAGGCTAAAAATAGGTATTAAATTATTTTTAAATGGTGTTGTTGGCTTCAACTAGTTATAACCTATGTGTTAAAGTTTCTTTATTCCATCTTACAATTTAATATAAGTTAAAGGCATTGGCTAAATCGAGGGGCGGCATTTTATTTGATTTTAAGATAAATATTTAGTTCTCTACAAATCAAGAGTTCCTTACAAATTAATACCTTTTAGAAATAAGAAATTTGAGAGTGTTTTTGCATGCACTTTTGTTCCACTTGAGTATTGTCTTCAGAAACTGTGCAGAGGTCACATGAAGTGAAGCTAGGTGAGAATACAGTGTGAGTATACAAAGCCTTGAATTTGGGAGCCTTTTGAGAAGAGATACTCAGGTTTCCTTATGCCTGCAGTAACAAAAAGGAATCGTTTTTCCGTAGCACTTCTCATATACCTCTTTCTCCCCCTCTGATTACTGCCTTTTTCTCCCTTAGGATTATGGCATGTGGGAGCGTGGAGATAAGACTAATCAGGGCATTCCGGAATTGAATGCAAGCTCTGTAGGAATGGCCAAGGTGACAGTTTTACTGTTTGTTCTGCCTTCTGTGCATTTTTGCTGCTTTGATTCGGTTCTCTTCATTAGGAGTTTGGATTTAATCTGATTAGTACATTCTTCAAAAGTCAACAGCATTTATGTGAAATTCAAGTGGCGCATGTACCCCAGGCAACTGAAATTATAGGTAAACAAAGTAGGTTTCCTGTGCTGAAATCTGCATGTGGCAGAAAATAAGTTGTGCTCTGTCCTTGTTATCTGTTGTTATCACCCACACGTCAAAGCTCTTGCTGTTGCTTAAGAAGCTGCACTTGTAGTGTCCAGTCTTCTTTTCTGGGTCATAAAGAAGGCTGAAGAATATGATCACTTTGTAGGTCAGGCTTACAAGTTCAAAAGTCTACAAAGTCAGGCGAGTAGCAATAACAAGTGAAGCTGGCCAGAGAGAAAGATATGGGGGATATGGGGATGCTGGGAGCTTTCCCTAAAGGTATTCCAGTTCAGACTCAGTTAAAAAGTACTCTCAAACCAGCAAAGCACCTCGCGGGTAGAGTCAGCCTGCAGGTCTCCAACGTGCGCCTCTTGCTGTAGACATTTAGTACACCACCTCCTCTTCCTCCTTCTCAAAACGGAAGTATATTTTTTGGACATAGGCTCCAGAGCCAGAAATTTTCAAGCAACAATAAATATGCTCTGCTAAAGTAAACTGACAGAAAATGTACTTATTACTAAAAGAATTAACTTTCTGAAGCACTAGATTTGCTAATGTTAGAAGTTAACCACTAAAATAGGTGAAAGAAAAGCCAACCATGAATTTAGACACACACACACACACACTGTTATGAACTTGTTAATATTTCATTTTTTGGTAGAATACTGATTTCATTCTGGGAATTGTTTTTCTGTTTTCTCTTTCCTGTTCCTACAATGAGCAACAACACACAGGAAAGCTCTGATACAGTGAAAGTAAAGACAGAAGGTGACTATAGGACTCTTTAGCTGGATTTTCAAGACGTGTTTTATTGCCTTTGGGAAAACATGTATGCTAGATTGCTTAATGAAAAAGGAGTGCCAGATATTGGAGGGTATGCTTATTAAAAAGAAAAAGTAATTCATACCTGTGTTTGCAGGCAGCACTTGAGGCAATTGATGAACTGGACCTTTTTGGAGCCCATGGAGGACGCAAGTCTGTGATCCATGTCCTGCCTGATGAGGTTGAGCACTGCCAGGTGACAACTGAGCCTCCTGCCTTCCAGAGAGTAGAGAGCAGGAGAATCCTGGAGTCGGAGACCTGCACTCCAGTTCAGATTCTCTGCCTTTCTAGCTTTGTGCTACTTGGCTTCTTTGAGCATCAGTTTTCTCATCCATAGAATGGGCACCCTCCCCTCCTGCCTCACAAGGTGGTTTTAAGAATCACAGAAAATCACCTTTGACAGTTTGTCTAAGCACTTTGTAAGCCAGAAAGTACTATGCAAACCTAAGACATGGCAATGCTATTTATGTGGATTCAACAATCAAAGCAACCTTGCTCTGCTGGAGGCCAATCTGTTTTATATTTTTTTGAGTACATAGATGGTTTTCTCTCAGATTTATTTCACAATGCTCCCAAATTGAATAATTAGCAAGCAGTAGTTCACTTGTGGGGTTTGGGGCTGGGCAGAATGGGTAGCGGGGGAGAGATGGCAAATTAATAGAACCTCCGTGAAGTACAGATCAGAGAAAGGAGTGATTTGATACAGATTAGGGACTCCATTAAGCAGACAGTAGGTCATCAATTGCTAGTCAATTGCAAACTCTTGTTTAGTGAGGGCCAAGCGGCGTGCCATGTACTGTGCTGGGGCTTAAGTGAGTCAGATCCATAGAATTTTGTAAATGGAGAGCTTCCAGTGGGAGTCTGTGTTTCCAGGCAGAGAAAATCTAGGGAAGAGTGACTAGATAAAGAACTGGGCCCAGGGGTCAGTTGGCTTTAGAAAATGACGCCTTGTTCTGAAGCTGAAGGGTTTCACCCATCTTTATCCCACCTTCCAGCTCACTCCATTTCCCCCCATTCAGTGGTCCTTAATGGGGAATCTGTTATTTTGGGGGATATAATTTAATAGAGACAAGCTGGTGTGCTTCCTGTAGATCATAATCTGATAGATGTGTCATCTAGTGGGAATGTGTGAGCTTTGTAGCTGGCTGAGCCTGGGTTAGGATCCTAGCTCCGTCACTTACTAGCTGCACTGCCTTAGGCGTGATTCTCAGAGTCCTCATGTGTGGATTGGACCTAATCCTCTAATTCCTTCCTCATATGGAAGATTTAATGAGCTTATGTTTTCAGGGATCTAGCCCCATGTTTGTACATGTAAGATCTCAGTGTTAGCTCCTTTCTCTTCCCAAATTTTTCCTTATAATTTCAACTTCTTTCCAAGTTTACAGTGTCTAATCCAACCACCTTATAATTGAAGCCATATTATAGTGCCTCTAATTAACCCTAGAAAGATTCTAGGACTAAACTAATTTTGTTGTTTACCATTTTGCCAGAGATTTTCTGGATTTGACTCTTTCTATAAGTGGTTTCTGGGTCACCCAATCCAACTGGTCAGAAGCCAGACATTTCTCCGTGCCAGCCCCATGTGTGTGTGCTTTTCTGGTCTCTATCTTCATAGCCAGGACACCTTAGCCTGCTGACACAGGTACCCCCATAGTTCCTCCTGAGTGTCCTAAAGGTCTGGCAAAGTCAATAGAGGGCACGGAAGGAAGGCAGACAAGCAGTTCCCAGCACAGGCTTCAGGCATTACCATGCCCTCCCCAGCCCTCTACTTCTACAAGGTTGGCTGGCAGGGGCCATGTTGGTAGGACAAAGCTCTACTCAAAATTGGCAAACTCATTTGAAAGTTCCCTTGGGGCTAAGGCCATGGTCTCTAGTACTATTCCAGGTTAAACCACCTCTTTGTTTCTCTTTCAGTCTATCCTGTTTTCCATGCTGCCAAGAGCATCAACATCCAAAGAAATTGACGCCGGACTTCTTTCCATTATTTCTTTTCCGGCCTTTGCAGTGGAAGATGTAAACCTTGTGAATGTGACCAAAAATGAGATTATTTCCAAGCTCCAAGTAAGCATTGGTCATGCTGATGCCCTTCTACCCTGTGTGAAGTGCCACTTTCACATGATGACATGGAGCAGCTCACCCATGCTTTGGTTCTCCCTGAGGTTAATGGCTCGGTTTATCTAAGTGGACTCATGGGCACCCAAAGCTGAGCCTACAGGCAAGAAAGCGAAGTCTCAGTGTGATTAAGTGACTTGGTTCTTTTCTTGAGTAGCAGAACTTGCACTCAAGCGGGCACCTTTGAACCTCAATTCCTACCACCACCGTACTTCAAAGGCAACAGAGCTCACAGACAGATTCCTTTGAGAAGCTCATGAAAGCTGTAGAGTCACTGCCAGAAACAATATACATGTCCCAGTGTCCTCAGACTTTATACACAATTTCAGGGGACTTGGTGACCCCAAAGTTAAATTAAGGTCAAAAAATCCCTGTTCCAAGGCAAAATGCAGGAACACATTACACTAAACTGAAAATGTTATTAAATACTGAGAACGTTATTAGTAACTGAGAATGTTATTAAATACAGCCAACAGAAATTATCAGTAAAATTATCAGACTCTAAGTTTCTTAAGCTGAAATCTGCATGTTGATTGTCCTACTTAGATTCAGTGAAAAATGCTTTTGTCCCTTGGAAACACAGGAGCTAAGGGTCTCCGATCATATTCCCAAAAGAAGGCAGCGGTATTAGTCAGGGTTCAGTGGAGAAAAAGGAGCCTCTCTAGGAAGCTGAAGTAGGGAGTTAATGCAGGGAGTGACAGGCTTGCAGGAGGAGCAGGGCTATGCTGAGCCTCCTGGGACGAGGCCCAGCACACTGCGGAGCTGGCCACTAGGGGCGTGGTTGCCAGTCCGGCCTGGCCCATGCTAGTGCAATGTCTGCTGCAGCAGCCCCCACACACTGAAGAAACTGGAAAATGGACACCCAAAGCTGCCATCCAGTGATTGGTGGGTCACACTGAGAGAGTGCTGCCCCTACACACTCCTTTCTTGGCACCCAGGAAGCTAGAGAGGAATACTGGAGCCTGTAGCAGGAAAGCCAGCAGTAAAGGTCCTAAGCGTAGGAAGCCCTATCCTTCCTCCCACCCCAAGCCTTGCAGGGATGCATCAGGCCAGCAGAAGCCTAACTGCCCAGGGTCTAGGGAATATCCTTTTAGCTTTCCAATCTTTCAAGTAGGAGCAAACAGTCCAAGTATCTGTCTTGATGGCTTCTCCAAATAGTGAGGGGGTGCCTTTGCATCCTTGTGTGATACAATAAATCAGAATGAAAGAATAGTCATTCAATGAACTCTCTTTAATTATTCTTGAGTCCTGATACTCCAGTGGAATGTTTTGGCATTCACTTCCAAGTACCAATCAAACCTGAATTTACTTTGCTTCTTACTTAAAAAATAACTCTTTATACTGATAGCAAAGAGCATCTGATAGAAATTTTATTACTAAAAGATTCATGGGAGAGAGGGTGAAGGGCTGACTTGAATTGAAATAAAAAGGCAAAGAAATTCTTCCAATTTCATCAAATGTACTTCATTTCTTTATCTTATTAGGGACGTTATGGATGCTGCCGCTTCCTTCGAGATGGTTATAAAACTCCAAGAGAGGTTGTATTTAAATATTGTTTCTTATGGTTCTTTAACTGCTTCATATCTAAGTTGCCACTGTGTTGTTCTCCCTCTATTGATTATAATTATATGTTGGAATATTGGAAAGGGAAGTATTAATTTTGGAGTCAGCAAGCCTGGAGTTAGGCAATAGAATAGTAAGATCATCAGGAGCACAGCAAGCTGGTAGTTTAAAACCAGCTCGTAGACAAGGACAAACAGTTCTGTGGCTCACACATCTTTTTAAAGACCAACCGTGGCCTCCTCCTTGGGTTTCTTTGCCACAGTGACTAATATAAATATAAATAAAACAGATTGTCTGCCAGCCACAGTGGTAAGGCAAATTGCTGTTTATCTGTTAGAGATATAGGAAGCTTTAGTATAATAAACTACCAAGGAGTCTTGTGTATATTTCTTATTTACTTTCCGAAATTTTACCATGGGAAACTGCCCAAAATAGCATCTCCCCGTTATAGTGGAATCTTAATCATACCAACCTCAAAGCTGCATTAAGTAAGACAAGCAAAGGGAAACCCAGTGAGGCACAATGGCATGATGTATGTAATGTGACATTATCTTTAAAAAGTTTTATGTGTTTGATTCTAGGACCCAAACCGATTGCATTATGACCCTGCTGAACTCAAGCTCTTTGAAAATATTGAATGTGAGTGGCCTGTGTTCTGGACGTATTTCATAATAGATGGAGTCTTCAACGGTGATGCCGTTCAGGTGAGAACTGGTGTGCTGATTATTATTAGAACGTAGAGTTATGCAAAAATTTAGGTCACTGTTTTGGTTATCTGTTGCCACTTAACAAATTTTCCCTAAACTTAGTGAATTATGGCTGGCCAGTTATCTCAGCTGGTTAGAGTATGGTGCTAATAACACTGAGGTCAAGAGTTCAGATTCCCCTACTGGCTGGCCACCAAAGAAAAGGAACAAAAAAAAACAGTGAATTAAAGCAACAACTATTTTATTTATTCACTTACAGTTCTGCAATTTGGGTAGGGCCTAGCAGGGACAGATTGTCTCTGCTTCACTAGGTGTCAGTTGAGGCAGTTCCATGGGGCTTGGAGAACCTACTTCCAAGATGACCTCACTTGCATGGCTAGTGAATTGATGCTGGCTGTCAATTGATGGGAACTCAGCAGGTCTGTTGGCTGGGACCTTGGCTTTCCTCCATGTGGCCAGCTTAGGTTTCTCACAGCATTGTAGTCCGTGGTCATCTTCCCCCAAAATGCAAAAGCAGAAGCTGCCAAACTTTCTTAAGTCTTAGGCCTGGAATTAGCAAAGTGTCACTCTCATCTAATTCTGTTGGTTAAAGGTGAAAGGGCGCACGGTTGAAGGAGGCACGCGAGACCTGGGCTGACAGTTCACCAGAGAAGTTCCGCTTTATTCAAGGACCACGCGTATATTTATAGGGAGATGCATTCCGGGTTTGGATAGGGGGTGGACGGGGCAGTAGCTGATTGGATGGGGTTGGGCAGGAGGTGGGCCTTGACCTGTGACTGGTTGAGGTTTGGCGCCGGCGGGCTTTCACTGCGAAGAACCTGGAAGGGCGCCATATTGCCATGGAGTGCCTTCCCCCTCCCCCGCTTGAGTGCCCATGGTATCCCTACATTCCTCCCTTTTTCCTCTGTTGTGGGAATGGGTCGTCATAATCTTCGAGCTTCCTGCTGGACGGGGGCGTAGTAGGGGCGGCGCCGGCAGGCTTTTACTGCGGAGAAGAACCCAAAAGGGCACCATATTGCCAGGGAGTGTCTTCCCCCTCCCCCTCCTCTTGAGTGCCCACGGTATCCCTACATTCCTCCCTTTTTCCTCTGTTGTGGGAATGGGTCGTCGTAATCTTTGAGCTACTTCCTGGTGGACGGGGCATAGTAGGGGAAGAGGAATTGGGAGGAGATAGGAGACCTTCTATTAGGCCCTAAAGAAGAGTAGAATATACAGTAATTTCAAGGGGGAAGAACTCTAGAAATGTTCCCTGAAGCCACAGGTCAGCTATTTGTTGAGTCCAGTGTGTGTAGGAAGCCGTAGGGGAGAGCATCCAGGCGTCTGCAGCCAAAACCTCCAGGAACAGGGACCATTGGTGATGTAGATCCATTTAATAGTGGGTTAGCTGATCTGATGGAGAGCGGGTAGGATCCTCGGTGGCCAGGAGCTGGTAATTTCTAAGTAAAAGCTGGTTAAAAGTTTGGTTAGAAATTCTTCCGAGTTGAGTTTGAATGAATTTTATAATGCAGGGCAGAAAAAGACAGGCTATAAATATAACAGCGAGGGGTCCTAATATTGGCCATACCCAGGTGAGAAGGGAGTTTTGGAAAATAGAGGAGAAAGGGTTGGGGTGGTTAATAGTTCGAAGGTCTGAGGCTAAGTTAGTGAGTTTGACAACGTTGGTTTCTACCACTCCAGACTCATTGATATAATAGCAACATTCTTCCCGGAGGAAAATGCAGGTACCACCCTCTTCCGCCGTGAGGAGATCTAGTGCGTGGCGGTTTTGTAAGGTGACTTTAGCTAGGGAGGTGATCTGTCTCTGTAGGGCGGACAGAGATTCGGCCGTGGAGGTGAGGGCCTTTTCAAGTTTGGTGTTACTATCGTCTGCTGCCCATAGAGTATGTCCCAAGCCCCCCCCCGCCCCCCGACAGGCCGGTTGCAATAATTGACGTTGTTAAGGACATTCCCACCAAAACTGGGAGGAAGGCGGCCCGACGCTGTCTTGAGGTTGGGTGGAATAAGGAGGAGAGCTCGGAGTGGGAATAGAAAGTTAGTTGGGGAACGACAGTGACTAGGTAGCAGGGGACGGAGGTATTAGGAAAGATAAAGGTGGAAAGGGTTCCGTTACACCAAAAAAAGGTGTCCGGTGGGGACATTGTGTGGATCATGATGGTGGAGTTTTTAGTGCAATGGAATGAAGAATGGGGTAAAGGGGTGGATGATCCCAGAAAACAGTGATAGGACACTAAAGTGTGGTTGGGGGTGTTATCAGGGTCCGATAGAGGAACATTGGGAAGGCTGAGGGGTCTAGAGGAGGAGTTGGAAGGGACTGAGGTAATGTTTACAGGGACAGCAGCCAGAAGTGGGCACAGCAAAGATGCGCAAAGGAAACAATTGTTAGGAGGGGTAGAGTTGAAGAAAGTCCGGTTAAGAAAGATAACAGTTTCAGAAATAATTTGTTGCCAAGTGTAAATGGGAGACAGCTGGTTGTCAGTGTGTATTTGTGAAGAAAGGGTTTTTTCTTGTTGAGAAATGTGAGTATGTACAGCAGATAAGGAAGTGTGATTTTTTATGGGGACATACATGCGGGTGACTGCAAATTGTCCACAGGGGTGGGAAGCGTAACTATTGCAGTAGAAAAATCCGATGACCACCCCTGCCCACCTGGAGTCCCACGGATCAGAAATGTGGAGTTGGAACCCGCTACCTGGGTTGTGTTGGAGTATCTGTCCTCCCGCACCCATCCTGTTTTGGACTATTTGACCCTGGGTACCCATAAGTGGGTTATGGATTTTGCATGACCAATACGGGCACCCTCCATAAGTATCTGGCCACCAGCGGCAATAATTCTGGGTTTGGTTGAATAAGAAGCATAGGTATGGGCGGGAAGATTGAGAGATTAGTTTACTGTTTGTAAGTGGGATAGTGATGGCACTTTGGCATCCAGCTACAGGACAGTCTGCCGTGGAAGAGAGTAGTTTGGTGGTTTTACCTTGTTCCCCTGTATAAGTCTCTTGCACTGTGAACCGCCAAACGTACAAGGATTTAGAAGTACCTACTAGGCACAGTAAGAGAAACAGGATAACGTTAGCAGAAGTGGTCATTGTTCCTGTAATGGAGGGAGACTTGGGAGTCGGGATAAGCAGAGCTTGAGGGGGTCAGAGGGGTGAGGGGTGCAGGCAAAGGTTTTAGTTTCTTGAAAGGGTGTGTCTTGAACTTCCAGGTCATGCGTAGGTTCCGTGGGATCCGTTGGTGAAGCCGGGAAGCAGGGTTTTAACCTAGAAATGTGAATCCATGGAGTTACTTGGTTGTTTGGTAGGGAAAGCTTGGCAGCTGTGGGAGTGCAAAGAATGACTGGGCAAGGGCCCTCCCACTTAGGAGTTAAAGGACCTTGTGGCTCTGTGGAATTGTAGAATACTAAATCCCCAGGGTGTACTGTGGGAGTGTTCTGGGAGGAGGTAGGGCTAGGTAATAGCCAATCTTGGTGTTTCCAAAGCTCAGCTCGAAGATGGGCGGGATAGCTAGGTTGGAGGGTATGGTTCCTTGTTTAGGGATGATCCCTGGAGGTAACGGGGACCTCCCATACATAATTTCAAAAGGGGAGAGGTTTGAAGGTTTCTTCGGGAGGACCCCGAGTCTGAACAAGGCTAAGGGTAAAAGGCGGGCCCAGTCAAGGTGAAGTTCCAAAGAAAGTTTAGTAAGGATGTCTTTTAGAGCCCTGTTGGCGCGCTCAACTTTTCCTGGGGCCTGGGGCCGGTAAGGACAGTGTAAGTGCCAAGGGAGGGAGAGGGTTTGAGATAAATTTTGTATTATTTGAGCGGTGAACTCTGGGCCGTTGTCTGTTTGTATGGAAGAGGGCATCCCGAATCTTGGGATAATTTGGGAGAGGAGGATGGAAGCCACAGTGGTGGCCTTCTTGTTAGTGGTGGGGAAGGCCTCTATCCACCCGGAAAAAGTGTTTACCATTACTAGGAGGTATTGCTGACGTTTAACAGGAGGCATGTGCGTGAAATCGATCTGCCAGGAAGAGGGCATTCTGAATCTTGGGATAATCTGGGAGAGGAGTATGGAAGCCACAGTGGTGGCCTTCTTGTTAGTGGTGGGGAAGGCCTCTATCCACCCGGAAAAAGTGTTTACCATTACTAGGAGGTATTGCTGACGTTTAACAGGAGGCATGTGCGTGAAATCGATCTGCCAGTCTGCTGCAGGGATACTACCCCTAGCTTGGTGTGAGGGATATGGTTTGGCTTTTAAGGGAGTGTTAGGGTTGGTACGTTGACAGATGGAGCAATTCTGAGAGATTTCTTGTAGAAGAGTTTTGTCCGCTGAGGTTAAAGGAAAGAAAGTTTGGAGGAAGAGTGTTAAACTTCGGGGATTTGAATGGAATAGATCATGGAGAAGATGGAAAAGAGAAGATTTATCATCTGGTGTCGGAG